TTTGTGTGACGTACATAGTTGTATTCGTAATAAAAAGTGCTACTAAATACAGTGTGTACTTTTGTCACGGGACATTTAAAATAGTATAGTTTGTGATCATTTCTCCGAAACAAAACGTTGTATTAAGAATCTTCCAACGGTGCTCAAAAAGGGGCAATGAGAAAGTATTTTTTTCTATTTCGGTGTTACAATGAGAATTTTGTGCAACTGTTTTCGGCAAAAACAGTGTTTCAATGAGTTCCATTGTAACATTGTTTTTGGTAACTTTTCATCTCTAAGTTGGCAGTTCGCTAAGACGTCAACGTCAAATCATCAGATGTGAAATCAAATTACGTAAAATTTATGTGTTTTCCTTGATTTTTGGTACACGAAGAACTTAATACATTCCAAATCAGCAGTTTACACATCCACCATAAATAAATTTATCTACGAGTAAAAAATTACACATTCACGGAATTTAAGTTTCCGAATGTCAGTGTTGTGTTTATCTACGCTGCCAACTTAAAATTTGTCAACGTAAATGGTGTTGCCAACTTAAGACATATTAATTCTAAAGTTTCCTGTAGTTTTTGCTAATTACTTTTTAATTACAGATAAGCAAGCAATATAATGCGCTGTGCTTCAAAACGTTTGCGCACTGCATCGTAAATAATGCGCAATGCATCACATAAAATGTGTTGTGCTAAAAAATAAATGCACAATGCACGAAAATAATTGCAGAACGCCATTAATTTTATGCGCGATGCATTTTATTAATTGCAGCTTGCACCATAATTTTTGCATAATGCATCCAAATAAATGCGTTTATAATAAAATCTAGTATGTAGCTTATGTAAAACAGCACACGCGCGCGCATGTAAGGTACATGACAGTTCATGAATTATTTGTGAAATTGTGAAAATGCCACGAAGATATGTTTGTTTTACTGAAGAAAAACTTGATGTTGCTAGAAAACTTTATGCTAGTGGCAGAAGTGCAAAAGATATTATGGAAGCCACTGGTGAAAGTCTTCGTTCAGCGCAGAAATTCATTTCCCACACTAGGTCCGAATTTGTTGATGGACCTCTGCGAAATTTTGAACTAAACAAGAAAGGAAGAAAACCAAACAACAATGGAGAGTTATGGGACGCCTATAGAGAATATACTGCTGCAAGAATGTACATTGACCATTCAGCAGATTATAGAAAGACTTCCAGGACATTTGAAATGCAATCGCAATAAAGTTGCAAAAGTGCTAAAACAGCATTCATACAAGAAAAAAAGAGCAAAGAAAATTCCACATGAACGAAATTCGCGGGCGCATATTCAAGCTAGAAAAATGTATGCCACCGCAATGGCAGCCGTGAATGATGATAACATGATTTTTATTGATGAATCAGGATTTAACCTACATTTAGGGCCTTTATATGGGTATACTTCCCCAGGAATCACGCCGTCAGTAGAAGTTCCTGGAAATAGAGGTACCAACATCTCACTTTTACTTGCAATTGGTTGGATTTTTTACAAGAGTTGGAGCTATTAACTCTAACGATTACAAAACTTTTCTTGAAACTGTTGCTTTGCCTCAAATAGAAGACGATATTATAATTATGGACAATGCCCGCATCCATCATGCCAATGATGTCTCTAACTTCTTTAGGGAAAATAATGTTAGGCACAGATATTTACCTCCTTACTCCCCTCTACTTAACCCGATAGAAGAAGTTTTTTCAATGATAAAGTCAAAATATATACATCTTCGACCAAAGCCACGTACAGGCGATAATGTGATAGAAGCACTTGAAACTATCTTGGAATCGCTTCAAGAACAGGATTTTCTGAGGTTCTACCATCATATGCGAGAATATTTAAATAAAGCATATAACGAAATCAGATTTGACTAACAAATTTTTATATTGTAGTTTTGAAACATTTATGATTTCTATTCCACATAAATATAATGTAGGTTTACATAAACGTTTCCTTTGTACCAACATAATTTACATATTACATTTCATAATTAAACTAGGTACCTTTCTGTTTTTTTTAAGTTTATAAGACATACAATCTTTTCTCCTTATGTGTGTAATACGCTAATATAGGTACTACATAAATAAAAACTATGTCTAATGCATTTATTGAAAGCATAGTGCAAAAATACATGTGCCAAATGCAATTAATAAAATGCATCGCGCATAAAATTAATGGCGTTCTGCAATTATTTTCGTGCATTGTGCATTTATTTTTTAGCACAACACATTTTATGTGATGCATTGCGCAAACGTTTTGAAGCACAGCGCATTATATTGCTTGCTTATGTGTAAATTAAAGCTCCGAAATAGAAAAAATAGTATGAAAAACACGTGTTACAATTTTATTCTAATACTCCTATCTTGTGGACACTCGTGGGCTCCGCTTCGCTACGCCACTCGTGCCACAAGATAGTCGTATTACAATAGGTCGGATTGTAACACTTGTCTTTCAATATACTATACCAAAAAACTATTAATGTCACAAACAGAGATTTTAAGTGGCCAATCACTATACTGCTTACCCTACGCTACTGAAGTTTTGCATCTGATGCAAATATGAACGTCAACGTAGCAGGACAGTCACAGAATGAATTTGGGCGGCAGCAAAGTGAGCGGTTGATACAATGGAAATGTTTTGTTTACACAGCAAAGTCAAATGTGCAAATAGCAAAGGATGTGGCATACATTACTGAACAAATTGCTTAGGACAGCATTTCTTATTTTGTAGTCGATCCATTGTTTTGGTAGTACAATACAATATTTTTTTGTTCCAATTAACAACCAATTTATAACAACACCAAATATCGGTTAACCAAAAACGTTTTGTTGCTCTAGCTAACAGTTTTCGTCCCTGGTGGAGTAATACTTTACGGTTGTGTCTATCCAATTTCGGTAATAATAACAGAATATTTCTTTCAGTGATACGGAACACGTCGTGCCATACGATCTGATCCAATTTACAGCGCAAATGAGTTGACACGAGATGGTATAAGTCGTCGTGCCAGACGTTCTGATCCAGTTTGTAGCTCAAACGAATTGGCACGAGACAATACCACTCGGCGAGCAAAGCGCAGTGAATTGAAACCATGGAAATATGCTGTTGTAATTTATAAGCAAAACATCAAGGATGGACCGGGTCACCGATGCTTCAGCTGTGACAAACTTATTTAAAACTCAAGTTGTTAAAACCACCAAACCAAAGAATCTCTTTTGTCTAAAGGCTGCGATATCGATTATTTAAAAATATTGATTTTGATGAACCGTTTCAATTGCATGAATATAATTTTTGTGCCACTTGCATGACTTACATTTGCAAGAAACAATATCCAAGATTCAATATCAACAACTCAAATTTAAAATTTCCTACGATTCCACAAGAAGAAGAAAATGTACTACCAATACTGGCACGACAATTGATGGCATTTTTGCAAAGTCAAATCTGGATATCGAGACATATATTTACGAATCCTATTTTTCTTATCATAAAGCATTAATTTTACGTTTCAGTAACTAATCTTTATTTGTGTTTAATAAAAGTTATCGAGTATGGTTATAAGTTAATTGTTTTCCTTAACTCTTCTTTGAATCATTTTCTTCGCCATTCTTCTGGACATCTGGACCGACTGAAGCAGTTGTTTGAACTTGACCGCTATCTCCAATTGGCACGAAATCATTGTTGGCAATAGATTCACTAGTTTTGTCTAGTTTACTCGACTCTTCCTGGGACAGATCAAATTCATCGGAGAGCAACTTCTCGACAGTCATCAGATGTTTTAGGGGAAATAAGGTCCTTTTTATTATCACCCTTTCCCTTTTCAATAAGCATCGCTTGGCACGAAAATGTTGACAATTTTCCGTATTTTTCAATAGCTGTCACACTCATCAATTCTGCGAATTATAATCATATCCTTTCAATTTTTCTCATTTTACCCTTAAACTCCTCTGAGCCGTGCCAGTTATTAAGTTCCTTCATGTCCATTTCAAGTCCGCGTAGTTCTTTAGCAACAATCTCCGAACCTTCACTATAATACTTAATGACAAAATCAGCCTTATTTTTTACTATTTTTAGAAAAACGGAAATGAAATCTCATTAATTAACCATTACATTCTTAATATCACTTAACCTCTTGTTTCTGATCCATTATTGCGAAATGAAAATCAACATGTAGTTGTCGAACGTCAAAATGTGAAATTGGAAAAAGTGACTTGCGTGCAAGAATCGGTAAATCTAAACTCTTTAATTCCACCAAAACTAAACCCAGAAATCAAGGCTGCCTTGACGAAACATAACGTCTGAGGCTTATTACCCTGAACTGCAAAGTTAGTTAGGTAAAGGTACAAACATAGTGGAGCGTCGAGTCAAAGAGGCAAGCATCGATGCCCGATTTTAGTTATGCACTAACAAAAATTCCTGAACTTCGTTCTGGAGATCTTGGTAATATGATGACCAAATCACAATGGCCTTATTTTAAAAATGTGTTTTTTTGTACCTCGAAATACCGAAAGCAATCTGGAGGAAACGGAGGAAAATGATTGTGAAACAAACTTAAGTACGCACCCATCTCATGAACCTTGGGCAATAAACAATTATGACACTAGTGAATATGCTACTCAAAATAACGGTAGTGATGAAGATACGTCATATACGCACGCTCATCTCAACCCCATCTACATCTTCACGCACAGTATTGTCAGTACAGTACAACTTCGATAATCCGGACACATATCGTTCCAAGCAGCGCCGGATTAGCGAGGTGTCCGGATAGCTGGATTAATATTTCAATACATAGTTTTATTTTACTATACAACTATGTACTAGCTGTTTTCTAGGTATAAATAAATCATTGTACCCTAATTACAAAGAAAATTATGTTTATATTTCAAATTATAATATGTATACATAATAAGTATGTATGTACGTATGTATAAACAAATATGTATGTATGTACATACATATGTACATACATATGTACAAGACAAAGAAAAAGTTTAAATGGTTTTGAAAAAACTATCAATTTTTTTCTGAACTGCCTTAGAGTTTGCTAATTCAGTCGCTTTTTCAACAATTTCTTCCCGATTCAAATTGTTCTCAGGATCTATCACAAGCAAGGAAGCGGTAATGGTTTTTAAATCTTCCTCGTTTATTTGACAAAGTCGTCTTTGAAGTTCTGAAAGTGGAATGTTTTCTTCATCAGATTCCTCTTCTTCTGCATCATTTCTTTGGTTCGGCCATAATACTATCCAACTTTTTTGGATATTTTTTTCAGATATGGACTTCCAAGCAATATCTAGATTAACAAGTGCATCTTTTAAATTAAATTGCTTTAAAACTGTAACTAAATCGTCACCTTCGTGAGCGATAATGTGATTTAGTAGTCTCTTTCTGTATGCTACTTTTATGTTTTGGATCAAGTTTTGATCCATTGGCTGTAAAACTGCTGTGCAGTTGGGCGGCAAAAACATAACTCTGAAATCAGGATCGAAATTTATTTCTGTCTCAGGTGGATGAGATGGAGCATTATCTACAAGTAACAATGCTTTATGAGGTCGGTTAACAAACGATAAAAAACGTTTGACGTCGGGTATAAAGCAAGTCTTAAACCATTCGAAGAACAATGTCCTGGTCATCCAACCTTTGCTGGTTGCCTTGTATTTGACAGGTAAAGTAGCATTCTTAAATGCCCTTGGATTTGCGGATTTTCCAAGAACTAAAAGGGGTAACTTATGAGTTCCAGCCGCATTGCAACAGGGCATGAATGTTACGCGATCTTTAGATATTTTTCGCCCTGGTGCTAATTGTTCCTGACTATGAACCCACGTAGTGTCCGGCAAGGCTCTCCAAAAAGCCGCTGATTCATCAGCATTATAAACTTGTTCACGACTTAGCTTCATTTCATTAACCACAGTTAGAAATTTTTCTTGAAAAGGTACTATAGCACTTACATCGCTGGAAAGTTTTTCACCACACACTTTAAGAAAGCGTATTCCGTGCCTTTTCAACAATTTCTTCCCGATTCAAATTGTTCTCAGGATCTATCACAAGCAAGGAAGCGGTAATGGTTTTTAAATCTTCCTCGTTTATTTGACAAAGTCGTCTTTGAAGTTCTGAAAGTGGAATGTTTTCTTCATCAGATTCCTCTTCTTCTGCATCATTTCTTTGGTTCGGCCATAATACTATCCAACTTTTTTGGATATTTTTTTCAGATATGGACTTCCAAGCAATATCTAGATTAACAAGTGCATCTTTTAAATTAAATTGCTTTAAAACTGTAACTAAATCGTCACCTTCGTGAGCGATAATGTGATTTAGTAGTTCTTTCTGTATGCTACTTTTATGTTTTGGATCAAGTTTTGATCCATTGGCTGTAAAACTGCTGTGCAGTTGGGCGGCAAAAACATAACTCTGAAATCAGGATCGAAATTTATTTCTGTCTCAGGTGGATGAGATGGAGCATTATCTACAAGTAACAATGCTTTATGAGGTCGGTTAACAAACGATAAAAAACGTTTGACGTCGGGTATAAAGCAAGTCTTAAACCATTCGAAGAACAATGTCCTGGTCCTTTGCTGGTTGCCTTGTATTTGACAGGTAAAGTAGCATTCTTAAATGCCCTTGGATTTGCGGATTTTCCAAGAACTAAAAGGGGTAACTTATGAGTTCCAGCCGCATTGCAACAGGGCATGAATGTTACGCGATCTTTAGATATTTTTCGCCCTGGTGCTATTGTTCCTGACTATGAACCCACGTAGTGTCCGGCAAGGCTCTCCAAAAAGCCGCTGATTCATCAGCATTATAAACTTGTTCACGACTTAGCTTCATTTCATTAACCACAGTTAGAAATTTTTCTTGAAAAGGTACTATAGCACTTACATCGCTGGAAAGTTTTTCACCACACACTTTAAGAAAGCGTATTCCGTGCCTTTTCTTGAATTTGTCAAGCCACCCTGAACTAAAAAATCACTCTTCCCAGTTATTCTTTCATAAAATTGTTTAGCTTTCGTTCGTAAGATCTCAGAAGAAACAGGTACATGAGCACTACGCTGCTGTAGACAATATAAAGCAGCTTCAACTTCGCCGGCCCACCTTTTTATCTATGAAACTATTTAAGTGAAATTTGATACTTAGGCGCTTGGAACAAAGGAAAATCTAACATTAGTTTTAAAATTTAGGTTTGCGCATGCGCAGTTCCAACTTTCTTATTTAGAAAAGCATTGAAATGAAATTCTTCTCATAAACTGAAATTGAAGTAGCACGTCAAAATGGATTGCCCATGTGCAACGCTATCTTTCATATTTGTGGCCGGATTTTTACGATTTTAACAGAAGTTGCATCTTACAAATGGGAAATGAATGCAAGTGGAAATGCGCTTTATGTAAATCGTTTACGATTACTTTTTAACTTGTTCTTTATATCACTTACAGTTGATTTTGGAACATTAAATTTCTCAGCCACCCTGCGTATACTACCCACCTTATCAAGAAAATCTAATATTTTACATTTCTCCGCAAGAGTAAGTGTGTTATGCGGTCGTTTATTTGGCGCCATTTTTTTTTATAAAAGATTGACACACGACGCACGGAAACTAAACGATAACTGACCGCCAAAGGCGGCAAACCCGTTAGGTAAGGAAAAATCCGGACTGCAGAGGTAAAATTTTCGGACACCTAGGAACGCCGGATTACTGGAGTGAACGAATCAGCGAGTGTCCGAACTAAAGAAGTTGTACTGTATTACCAAGAAGCAGATGTATAAATTGAAAGGCAAAAGTTGGAATACTTGGTCAAAAAACCGGCTGCCACTGAAAGAAAAGTTGTTCATAGTATCAAGGAAATGCAATGTTTGACCTTTTTTCAGTGTTAAAATGACATTACTCCAATGAAGGATTATTCATTGATTAACGATTTGAATCATTACTATAATGAAAATACGATGATCAATTCAAAGAATGGCATTCATTGATTTACAATGAAACCGATTCATTGTAATATGGAAGTCTTTCATTGTAGGAATGAATTTATTCATCTAATTTGTTATGAAATAGCCGTGTTAACTAGAAAGGGCGTATCTGCAATTTTAGCATAAATCGACTTCGACGTATGTACATGTTGGCAAACCAGTACCCTACTGTTTTGTTAAGACCGAAAGTCGTAATCTCTCACTGTATGATCGTACTGAGCTTAAAAAGAAAGGGCGTATCTACAAAATGTTAATAAGAATAGACGTATCTCTTTGTATTAAGCTATTTGGACGTATCTACATAGTTTGTTAAACTAGACGGGCGTAACTGTATTGCTCTCGAACAGATACGCCTGTCTTTCTTAACATGCGCAGCTTTGCTATTTGAGGTTAAGTCATTCTAATTTTCGTGTAGCATTTAATTTGCGTTTCTAGTAAATGTGAGTGTTTTAAAATGAACCGGTGCCAGAAACTAGTATATTTAGCCCTTAATAAGCAACAAAGAAATAAAATAGATGAACTGAAGGTGACCAAATCAGAGCAGATTAAGCGTAATATTGAAGACCCCGATTTTACACCGAATTCTGATGACGAAAGCAGTATCAGTGGAAGTGATTCCGAAAAATTAGCTTCAGCGTCAACTAATAATGATACGGTTTGCTTGAAATCCAGCACTTCCCGTACTGATGCTAAGATCAATATCCTCAGCAACGTACAACTAGTTGGACCAGATCTAGTGGAACCTAGCACCAGCGAGCTGATTCCAAATTCTAATAGCGATGAACTTGTTGTGGGTCAAGTTATTGAAAAACTTTTGACCGATGTTGAAAAACTCGTAGACCTTTCACTTTGGACTAAAGATGGGAGACCCAGAAAACGCAGAAGATTTTCGAAATCTGTAGAAGAAAGAAAACGCTTGAATAAGAATCGAATTGCCGATGCGCATAAAATAATTAATAGTTGTGGAAATGATTGCGTTAAAAAATGCCAAAAAACATTTTCTTATTCTCATCGCACCTTAATTAATAATGAATTTTGGAATATGAACCACAACGAACAAAAAACTTTCATATTCCATAATGTTTCGCGATCACCTACCAAAAGAACAACAGTACATTCAGCAACTTCATCTCGACGCTCAAATACATTGCAGTATGCCTTCAAAAATGAAAGTGGTCGTAGGGTGGCAGTGTGTAAAACATTCTTTCTTACAACCCTTGGTTTTAAAAAATCTAACGATAAAATGGTGAGAACAGTGTTCGGCAACTTTAATGAAACTGTCATTACTCCTAAACGTGATGGCCGTGGCAAGAATCCAAAAAAGAAGTTTGATAGAGACGTAATCATTAAACATATTGAATCTTTTAACCCAACAATCGCGCATTATCGCCGTGAGCATGCTCCATTGCGTAAGTACTTGCCCAGTGACATAACAATTAAATCTATGTATGATGATTTTATTGAAAAACATCCATCTATAACTTTTTCTTATTATCTTTATCGAGAAGTCGTGGATAGTCTGAACATATCGTTCACTAAACTTGGACACGAAGAATGTTTCACGTGTGAAGTATTTATGCATCATTCAAAAGCGAGTGGACACAAAAAAGAAGATATTTCTGTAACTTGCAAAGACTGTGAAGCGTGGAACACTCACCATACGAACTATACAGCGGCAAGAATGCAATACCAAAAAGACTGCAAAGAAAACGATGTCGTCGTTACAGTTGACTTACAAAAGGTAGAGCTGTAAATTATTGCTTTTTGTGATTTTATTAAATCTTTCCCATTTCCAGGTTATCATGTTGCCGCGATGTGACACTTTTAAAGAAGTGATTTTTGTACCCCGACTTGTGGCGTACAACGAAAGTTTTATCTCAGCTGGACCGAAATCGAAAGTGGGCCACTTTGCTGCAGTATGGCATGAAGCTATTCAAGGAAGAAATAAAGAAGACATAGTTAGCTCATTTTACAAATACTTTCTGCACATGCGAGACGCAAAACATGTAATACTATGGCTTGATAACTGCACCGCACAGAACAAGAATTGGTGTCTGTATAGTTTCTTTATATACATTGTTAACTGCGCCGAAGTTGCTGTACAAAAGTTGGAAGTCAAGTACTTCGAATCAGGCCATACTTTTATGGCAGCCGATTCGTTTCACCACGCAGTCGAGAACTCTTTGAGAAAAGCAGGAAAAGTCTACGATTTTAATGATTACGTCACAGCTGTTAAAAATGCATGTAAAGGAGTTTATGTTGAGGAAATGGATGAAAATTCATTTTTTCTGTGGGAGGATCACACATCTCAATACAAACTCAATAAGATAACACCACGACCATATTTAAACGAAATGTCTCATGTAGTTTTTCGAAGAGGCGATCGAACACTCTCATATTCACGTTTTTTTGAAGGAGAGTTCATAAATTTGAATTTTTTGAACCACAAATCCTTTAAAACAGGAATTTCTTTACCTCTACTAAAAGGAGAACCAAGAGGCATATCAAAAATAAGAAAGCAGACTATAATATCTAAACTTGGAGCAATATTTCCTAAAACGAGGTTGGTGTTTTGGGAAAATTTGCCAATCGAAAAAGAACATTCTTCCAAGAACCAAGATGTTGACACTGATTAAGCTTATTTTGTTAAAATGTTATTCTTATGTACTTAATATGCAAATTAATAACACCTGAATAAATTTTTTGAAACTCTTGGAAACAATTTATTTGGCGTAACTACAGAATTTGCTATAACATCTTTAAAGAGAATAGGCGTAAGTATCAAAAGCCATATTCAGGAATGATATATCTGGTACAACATTATAGCAACTGACAGTAGAATATATATGTGTATGATTGACATCATCAACTCCTGCGCAGTTTGAAATACTGCGATGGCATGGAGCCAAATCTTAATACCTCGTTTTCTCACTTTAGTGAAAAACGCAGATACGCCCCTTCTAATTAACAGGGCACTTAAAGTACCTGTACATAAATTAATTAATTCATTCTTTGTCACAATGATCGTTATTCATTAGTATCAAACATATCCAGCTCAAAGTCGAAAAAGGAAATAGAGCTTTCTGGCAAAGTCGCCGCGCAATTGGCAAACTCCATAACCGTAGCACTTCTTAGCATGTGCAAAGACTTGCGTATCTTGCCTGCACGGGCGTGATGCGAATAACTCCCACACCCGTCATGGATGCCTTTCTGGGTCTGCCTCCACTAGATCTCCACATGAGAGAGCAGGTCATTTTGGCATTCCTGCGCCTGGAAAATAGGGGTTGTAGAATAGCAGAGGTATTGAGGTGGGCCACTCTCGCATTCTGGGCGAGGCGATTAAGCGATAGCCTATCCTAGAAGGGCAATCGGACTTACTCACTCCTCAATTCATATTTGGGAAAAACTACCACCTCTTTCTTAATGAGAAGGTGGTATTCCAACCAGACATATTCATCTTCACAGATGGATTTAAAACAATGGAAGGAACAGGCACTTGCATTTACTCCAAAGAACTGAACTTCTATATCACCCAACCACTAGGCAAACTTCCTACTGTATTCCAATCAGATTTGGTAGGATTAACGCTTAGTGCAAGAACAGTTCTTATGCATAACATAAAGAACAAACTTATCAGAATGTCCAGTGACAGCAAATAAAATTAAAAATAAAAGGCCAGTGTAAAATCACCTCTAGGTTGGTTTCCTAATGCCACCCATACACTAGAGCAAGTATCAAGCTGCAACACCCTTGATTTCGCATGCTGGAATGGAAGGTACCTAATGAGAAAGCCAGCACAGGGTTAGATGGAACATGATGTTACATTGTCGCCATGCGATAGAAGCCTTCAAAGGACCATCTCGCAACTTGGCGCGTTTTTGCACAGGGCTATCAACAAAACTGAGGTTACTCGTGGGAATACTTTCTGGGCACTGCAAACTAAACAAACACATGCACCGCGTGTGTTTGGTGGAATCACCATCATGTAGAGGATGTTAGATAAACGACGAGACGGCACACCACATACTTTGTAAATGTCCTGCTCGGGTCCCAACTGAGACGATCCATGTTGGGGGTATCCTGTCCGGACATAGGTAGCTACGATTACACCTGCTTCCCCTTACAGCATCCTTAGGTATCTCACGTGTGAGATGGCTTGAGTGACGTTGAGGGGTCTAACGACTCTAGTCAGGGAGGTAGTACAAAGAGCCCAAATTTGAGGCCTAGACACGCGTGGACCATGTCCACCTATCGTAATCCAGACTCACCTTTTGTGTACCTAGTCTATAAAGAGTAAACGCATTTTCTATACTGTGCAGTGTTTTGTAGGTAAGAACCCTCATTTAAATTAAGGATTATTCAATTAGAAACTGCTCTGTTCCTGTTTTATAGTTTGTACGTAATTTGTCTGTTTAGTGATCATGTCCCTAAATTATGTCCAAATTATCAAGAAAAGTTGTGTATATCTCGCAAACAATATAGCTCCACAAGATTTAGGAGTAATTTATCCATCGAAATGGCCTCAAGGTTAAACGAGTATAAATGTTATTGGTCAACAAACTTAAACTATGTGAAGCGTTGAAAAAACTTGCAATCCCAGAAAGTCATTGGCAACAATTTACTGTTGTTCCTTTTCGAAATAATTTGTACGGTGGTATGATCTGAAAGATATGTATAAGATGATTATTATTCATTTGCTAAAAAAGCAAGCAGAGCAATTGTTACATCAGGTTTGGAGTCTGATTCGCTAGCGCTGCCTAAAAAGAGGACAATTAAACTGAAAAAAACTTATAGTTTTTCTTCTACTGAAAAAATGTAGGAACGTCAAGTCTTCCCGATCCAGCTTTTTCGGGTAAAACGTAAATGCAGTATACTTTGGTACTAACTTTTTATTTTAGTATGTTTAATTAGAATTAGTGGAATTGCAAATTTTAAAAACAGTAGGTAGTAGTTGTTCAAATTCTGCACGGGTTAATGCTTTAAAAAATATTACAACTCCAAGTCCAGTTGTTGATTATGTGGATAAACCTACACCATAGGTATGTAAAACCCCCTCCATCCCTCCCTTCGGTCGCTCAGAATTAAACTGGGCATCGTCCTTTAAAGTACCTATAAATCACCTAGCTATCTTAATATCTATAATACCAAAGTTTCGCATGTTATTGGTGTTATTAAGCTGCAGCATTACATATTAACAAGACCGTGACAGAAAAAGACATTAAAAATCTCAAAATGGTTAAAATGTGACGCAGAGCAAGCGAACAAAGAAGTTTAATTTTTTATGCTTACAAATTGGTTTCTCTTTTAAATGTTGTATGTATGTGTTAAGTTACCGCGTTAATTCCAGAAAACTTGCTCCACTGTCAATATCACCTATACGCCGATGACACTCAAATATACTATTCGTTTGAACCCAATGATGTAGTGATGGCGTGTGATAGAGTAAATAGAGATTTATTTCATCTTGTTCATATTTCTTCTGTACTGTCCCTAAGTCTGAACCCGTCTAAAAGCGGTTTAACACATACAATTTTTCTTAACATTATTTTTTCAATTTTATTGCCAATTAAAATAATGTATATCACACCAAAAATTGATGTGAAAAACTTGCAAAATAAATTAGAACGTGTTCTATTTTAATGTACAAAATCTGCGCCAAGTGAGGTGCGCAAAAGATCGTTCCTCAAACCAAAACAAAAACATTCTGTGAACATAACCTCCGTTTTTATAATAAGGGCTCTACGCACTGATTAACATTTCTGTGGCTCTACGGTTATTGTGTTATGGCGTGGGCAAGAAACCACACGCAACAGTTTCTGGAGGCGATCAAATGCCATCCAAATTTGTACTTGATAAAATCGCCCCAATACAAAAATCGGCATGCAAGGAATGACGCGTGGAGTAAGATTCTTGCGGAAATGCACTTGATTAAACCAGATGTGACTGTAACTGATTTAAAAACTAAATTCAATGCATTAAGAACAAATTTCATGGCCGAATATAAAAAGGCTAAAACTTCGAAACGTAGTGGAGTAGGAACCGATGCCGTAAGTGTAATACTTCTTATTGATTATAAAGTGTTGACAATTTTAGATATACAAACCTACATTATGGTATTATGACGTGATATCCTTCATATTGGACGATTGTGAACAGCGAATCTCTTTAGACTCCATTGTAGCCTCTAGCTCTTCCAACACGGAAGATGGATCGGAAGCTGTAGATATTATTTATTCGCAAGATGAGGAAATGGTAAAAGCTGTGGATATCTTTTAATAGATACATAAGTATTATTATTTTGTTTAGGATGAATCTTATATCATCGACGATGAAGGCTATCTTGTTCGTGAAGAGCCAACGATGCAAGAAGGAATCGCTGAAACACCTAAGGGTTGCAACACGCCCAACGCGTAGCGAACGGCTACATTAAAAAGAAAAGGGTGTGGAAAAGGCGATTCTAGTGATAAAATAATGAAGGAAGCATCTGTAGCATTAACTGCTATATCGTCTGCAATTTCTAAAAAAAAATGATTCATCTTTGCCATGTGAAGCAGACCGGGACAAGGAATCATTAGCAAAATTCATTGTGTCAAAACTAAAATCTATCACCGATGACAGCATACGTCTACAAATAGAAGAGGAGGTGATACAAAAGTTGTATGAGGGAATCAGACGTTGCAAAGAATTACATTAAATACATGTTACTTTCTATAATGTACATATGTACTTCAATTCTACATTTTATTTCTATAAATTAAAATTTTTTACTGCTCTTTCTTGCCATTCATCCGCCCCTCTAACAGAGTTAAAATAGGATCTAAATTCGTCTCTAACTCCCCTAGCTACATTTGTCGACTTATTACCCCCTTGTCGTCCAATATTTGGTAGGTGAATGGTGGTCTCTTCGCCTACATCTATATATATTTTTGGGTGTTTGTAGCAAGGTAATTATGTAGAATAACACAAGTTAATGTGATTTTTTCCACTTTATCTACTGAAAGATTAATTGGGTTTAGAAGCACTCGAAAACTGTTTGCAAGAATGCCGAATGAATTTTCTATTATTTGATTAAACGAACTTACCTAAGTGAAGTTCTGATCATAATTGTATTATTCGACTCTCCGAATAGTTCAAATTATGTAGTACCTTGTTAAGCGTACGAAATCCACACATGTTTAAAAGAAAAGTAATAAAATTTCCTCTCCCTTCCTGCGCGACCCGAGTAGTAGGTCGTTCCTGGGCTCATTAAGTGACAAGCAAATCGTAATCGAAGATCAGCTTACAATGGGTCGGGTGGGACAGGGTTTGAACTATTCGGAGAGTCGAATAATACATTTATGATCAGAACTTCACTTAGGTAAGTTCGTTTAATCAAGTAATTGTATTGCTTCGACTCTCCTCTAGTTCAAATTATGTAGAGGTTTGAAGCCGATTACGATTTAAGAGTATAAGATATTTTATTTATTTATTGTCCTGCTGTTACGAAAAACAATAAATATTATTATTAAAAATATGAATGTATGTTATATAAAACGTATATAAACTTAAACTCTGTGTTAACAAATATAACGGAATAATAACTGTTATATATTGCCAATATGTATGTTATATAACATATATCAACTTAACTTTGTAT